ATGCACGGATATTTCTTCGCAAAAGAGGCAGAAGATGCCAACAGTAAATTAAAAAATAATGTCTACGATTAACTGACATTGCAATGGTAAAACAAAAAAATTATAAAAAATTATAAAAAGATGTACAAGTTCACAAAACACTATACGCGAAACCCGCCAAAAACTCGGGTGCAGTAATTACGTGATGGGAGGTAAAGGGGTTTACGAACACATTGATAGTCTGACATATACTACAACAGTAAATTATAAAATTGAGAATGGAAATGGGGAATGTGTCAAAGAGACAACAACCCGACCACAGAACAGACAACAGCAGAAGGCCACCAACAGGTCTTCAATGCAGCGAGAAATTCCCGCACCCGGAGGCGTCCTTCAGCTGGCCCCTAAACAAATATATATACTAGTTCAGTGATAATGAACGCCATACTAAACTCCAAATTGTACACAAGAAACTAAAATTAAAAATAATACAAGACTAACAAAGGCTAGAGGCTCCTGACTTGGGACAGGCGCAAAAATGCGGCGGGGTTAAACATGTTTATGAGATCTCAACCCTCCCCCTATACCTCTAGCCAATGTAGAAAAGTAAACGCATAACAATACGCACATTAAAATTCAGTTTAAGAGAAGTCCGAGTCTGATGTCAGAAGATGTAACCAAAGAAAATAAACAAAATGACAATAATACATAAATAACAACAGACTACTAGCAGTTAACTGACATGCCAGCTCCAGACTTCAATTAAACTGATTGAAAGATTATGTCTTCATCATATGAATATCAGGCACAATCCTTCCCGTTAGGGGTTTAGTATCATACCATCATAACATATATGAGAAGAACATAACCCGTGTCATGCCAACAACTGGTTTTTAAATAAATGTGTTTAGTGCAGATGCAAAGACCCTATAAGTGAATCAATATCAACGCCAAAATATGCAATCTTTAATGACCTGACAACAGTATCGTAACTATATCCCTTCTTAATAGTTTACATATTAAATATTTTAAACAAATTCATATATATTGACCTCTGTGACATTGTGACGAATTCAAATAACGTGTGATGTACGCATAGCAACATGAGCAAGTGACACTTATTCTGTCGACTCACAAGGCTCGTTTCTTTTTTCAACATATTTGGTTTGATATAAAGAGATTACTACGCACATGACTGTAACGGAATATATATATATATATATATATCAAGCTGTTGGTTTTCTTGATACATTTTGTCACTTGCATGACTTATTATTACTTAATTATAGCCTTTGTATTTGTTATTGTTCATTTTTCCCCCGTTGATTCACGAAAGATGACATTTCTATCAGCACTGCCCCATATGTGAATGAAAACTTTGGTACTGTTTATTTGAATTAGTTCATTTTAAAGTTCACCGTGCATAGTATTGTACAGTATAATTTGACGTAATTAAGATATAAATTTACTGAATAAAATGTTAAATTGTCACTTGTTTGTGTAGCTGTATTCAATGAAGTCAAGTAATTAAACATATATTTTACACTCTCATTTCGATAAGAAAAGTATCATTTAATTTGAATAGACATTCGGAACAATATAATATCAGTTCACATATCTTCATAGTCAAGAGGGTCTGGATGCGTTTTTTTTTAAATAAGAATAATAGGGAAAATATACATAATAATGGGCTGAAAAATCGACCCTAAAATTAAAATTAAAGAATATGGGGGGCTAAAATATTTACTTAAATATAAAGAATAAAGGCATAGTAACGGGAGAACGACATAAAAAATAGAGAAAAACGGTATAAATTTGAGAAAAAAACAGAAATAAGAGGGTAGTAATGGGGGTAACTTCATGACGAATAACGGTAAAAAATTCTTGCCAAATGACGTTAACGGTAATTTTTGGTGCATGACGATAAAATGTACACTTTCTTTTAGACGATAAAAAAATCGATTGATCTTGACGAATCACGTTAATTTTTTTCCAAAAATAACGGTAACGGTAATTATTTGAGTCCGCTGACGAATCACGATAAATATATTTTGACGAATCACGGTAAAATTCTAACCAATTTGACGCCAACGATAGCCAAAATGACCGTTTGACGCCTGACGGTAAAGGGCATTATTACCCTCAAATGAAGACATCCCATATCAATACCCTCATGTACAATGAATGTCTATGGACATAATGAAAGAAATAAACACTTCATACATTTGAATGAGAAAAATTTTTGATTAAAGAATAGATCTATAATTATCCGTAACACAAAAATATTACAAAATCATTCATATTAACAAATTGGATAAATAAACATGACACAACTTAAATTAAGAAGGTTAAAGGTTACATTTATTTTTTTCTTTCCATTTTACTAACCTTCATTTTGGATTTCCGAATTATGTGAAATTGGCCTGTTTATTATTCAATTTTGTAGAAAGAAGGGCCAATATGCATAAACTGAGATGTGAGGTGCTTGTCAATGAGAGTAATTAAAAAATGTAGATGACAACTCAACAACGATACCAGATCCTAGGCTTATATTTTGGCTAGCCAGATGCGTGTTGAGTCTACATACATGTATAATATATACACGTCACTCATGATATTCAGTATAGTAAGGGACTGGTAAAAGGTATCGTAGTTTTTCTTTCATTTTGACTGACTTGTTTCTTCTTTACAAAAACGTCAGAACATTGCACTTTTTACACAGGTAATAAAAGTTCGATTTTTAACTATTTATTTTTTAAAAAATAGACACTGTGTAGATGACTATATATGTTTGGCATATAAAACTTGTTTTCTTCGTAATCTAACAACTTTTTAAAATATGTACGTCAAATATTTGTCACTGCCCAAGACTGTTAATTATTGCAAAACGCGTATCTTCTGGCATGGTCAAGATTACGTCATCACACATATCTAAGTCAATACAGAGATCACGTGGATACAGCCGGTACAAAAGCAGTTTTGCGCTTTAAGAGTTTACATTTCATCAACCCGCCTTCAAAATGCAAGTGTTGATAACCGCTATAAATAGATAAACTCTGACCGGGGAGATGGGAGAGGGGCAAAAATGTTCAGAATATTGAGATCTACCTGCTGACCTTTTACACCAAAACTGTCAGACAATTCATCAGAGTTTATAATCCAGTGTCATCGTTTATTGCTCTCTGTCATATTATATTTTTGATTATTTTGTTATAAATCATCCCGTTAATGTAATCGTTTGAATTGTTCCACATTTTGTCATGTCGGAGTATTATAACTTACTATACGGTATGGGCTTTTCTCATCGATGAATGCCGTACATACCATATAGTTGCTTATACCCACTTTTTTAACTGTGGTAGATAGTTGCCTCATTGACAATTACACAACATCTCCTTATTTTAACATATAATAATCCAAATCTAATGTGTGGTTGATGAATTTGTATTCCGTCATTTTGTTATACGAACTCTGTTACCTTTTTGCCAGAGTTTCTTTTGTTATACGAACTAGAACACTTTTTGCCAATTTTTTGTCATTTTTTTAAGTTGTATGTGTTTTCAAGATCCAACCAGCGGAAACACTTTATAATCATTACAGCCATTTAACTGTCCCTGACAGCAGCAATCATTGAAATCCAAATGACCTATGCATTACCAAGAGGATCTCCTTTGGAATGTATATTTGAATAGTGTCATATTTAACTTTGAATCCTGACTAGTTGCAGTCACGGTCAAATCATTCAATTTTTGTCGCCTTCTATTTATCATGCTATTAGATTTGTAACATTAAGGACGACCATTTGATAATCAGGGTGGGGTGTGGGGTGGAAGGAGTATTTTTTTTATCCACATTGATCATTTATTTTAATCTTTAAGATTTATTGAATTCAAACTGACTATACCTACAGGCTTTGACAACAATTTGGATATATGTTAAATGCTAAGGCTTTAACAGTGTCCACAAGTTGAAACCGAATATTATATTTTTTAAAGACATTTTAGTAACCGACCGATCCTAATTCCACTGTATACATCAGACAAACAATGGACACTAAAGTTTTATATACTTTATTATTAATCTTTAATAGATTTAGAACAAAACTTATTTTTTCCAATATTATGTTATTTAGAATTTGTTGAACAGTCCTTATATCTAAAATAATAAAAACAACACGTTTAATAATTTCATGCGTCCGAAGCGCTTTTCTGGATTTACCTTCATCAGGAACGCTCAACTGTCCGTTAGATTTCAATAACTCTAGCATCAAACGGATAATAAGGATAACACCCTTGTCACTAGACAACGGGGAAACAAGAATTTGAATAAATATCTTCATCTTAAGAACTGCAAAATAAAACATGAAATCAAAATCGACCAGAGAACTTTGTAAAGAAACCTCTGAATTAATCAACATTCAAACCGATAGGGAAACTATAAAGAGATCAGAAAGGCTACATTGCAGGAAAAACTCCCGAGAATGCAGGAAACACGCATAGAACGATATTAACATTATTTAAATAGACTAGGGTTAATAAGTTATCAGATATCATTAATATCGAATGACATTGAAATATATTATAGCAAAAACGAAGATAAGATGTCATACAACTGTAATTATACATATCTTTGACATACATATATTAAAAAGCGATATCATTTCATATTTATATATACAAACAATATCCTTTATTTTCGAAATTAACAATATTGTTAACTCTTGTCATTGAAAAGATAATAACAATTGTACACATTTTAATTCATCAGTCCCTTAAGTAGGCTTACAGAAGTCATTTATTTCTGTACACACAATTGACATTAAACCAAGTCGTTGTTTCGGGTTTTGGTATTGTTACAGATATATACTTCGGAGTACTTCGGACTACATGTCTTCAAGGTGTAATTGCATGCGCTACACTTAACCGTTTTATAAGTGCTTCAATTTTAATAATCTAAATAAAATGAAAAATCAAATTTGATTCTGAATTTGATTGGACCAAAGTTGATATTTCATTGTATGTTTTCACTCAAAGAAAGCGAAAAAAAAACAGTTGCTTGAGGAATGAATTTCTGGACAGTCGATAATCTAGAGTCTTGATGGAACTATTCTGTAAAGTCGTTTCTTTGGGTTATTACGTTTTTGTTGGTATACTGTTCCTGTTACAAGGTAAAAAGAACTATTATAAGTATAAGCATTTTCATCTTAAGCGCCAGCTGATCCTCGTATATTATTTGATAAAATACGCATGTCAATTCACATAGAAAAAAGCAGCTGATTTAAGAACGAAAATATCCGTAAGATAAAGAAATGATAGATTGTTAGTAAATAGGACAATATTTAGAGAATTATCTTTCCTAAATTGACATTGATTTTGCTTTAAATGAAATTTATTATATTATAATTATTCATTAAGCCTATTCAAATTTTAAAACATCTTCTCTAGAATTTTAAATACAAAATGTGGAACGAGCGAGCGATTTTTTATTTTTTTTTCATCTGAAATGGAGCGAGTGAAAGTTCATTTTCTTTTTCATCGTAGATGAATTTGTTAGCACGTAAAGCGAATTTTTGAAACAGGAAGATGTATTTTAAATTTTCATTCCACAAAACATATGTTTTTGGGAGCGAGAAATTACTTTTTGTAACACAAAAAAATGTAACTTTCTGTGAACTGTCGGATCATCGATGAAATTTATTATAGATGAAATTGTTGATTTCATTTAATTATAGCGATAAATCAGAAAGTCTTTTAAAATGACTTAATAAATTTTAGATTTGACCAAAATTTTGAATGCGGAGAACTATCATGATTCAATCAATTTGGAATGGCTTAACTGGTATACGGTACAATTCATGTTTTAATGAAGAGGATCACAATTACCGAGTATATAAAATATCTTTTGTACACATTTCGTTTGGTTTTCTTCGCAGTTTTTCCGTCTCAATACTGGCACTTTTAAAAACGTTAGTTTGTTTTAATATCTTTTATGAGTTATATTTTTAAATAATTTAATCCTGCACCCTTATTATTTTTTCTATCTCGTGATATAAAGTATTATTTGATTAACGTTTTGAATTTCAACGATAAAATTCAAAGATGAAGACATCACTTAACTTATAAAGATGAGGTAAGTGGGGAATGACAGTTTATCGAACTCCGAAACAGCGGTTACGTCCTCTTCACTACGCTACGTTGACTTTTAGTTTAGCGAAGCAACGTCACCACGTTTCGGAGTTTGACAGTTTATAATAAGATCTGTTTCCCAATTTTTCATTCACACAGTATACAAATTCAAATTATATAAAACATAAAGATCAAGCGCAAACGTCCTATATAAAAAGCGCAAATGTCCTTTCATAAAAAGCGCAGATGTCCTATGAATTGAAGCGCAAATGTCCATTTAAAAAAGCGCAAACGTCCTATGTAAAAGCGCAAACGTCCCGCGCCGAGATCATCTTGAATTGCTTAGATGTCACATGTCATTTCTTTAATTGTTACGGATTTAAAATTAATATCGACTGTTATTGTCTTTGATTTTCATTGTTAAATTTATTTTCATACTAACCTCATCCTCAAATGACATTTTATAATAATGTATTGTTTTTCAGTTAACAATAAGAACATATTATTTAAAGTCAAATAAAACTTCAAATTAAAAAAAATAGATGCATATGTTTTTTTATAACTAAATGGCTAGTTTTCATTACAAAACTTATGTACATATACTTTTTTCCGAAGAAAATTCTTCAATTTGTCAAATTTAGAAAAAACTTTTTCCTAATTGTTTGCTTTCAGACAACAATTAGCCGACAAGTTTTCCGTATGCAGCGTTACCAGCGTAACCTTTCGTATAAAAATTCGATGATCGCAATTACGCAAGTGCGAAGTTGAAAACTAAATTGGCAGAGAGAGTCCACAAACATAAACATCGCTCCGCCATCGAAATAATCTATATCTTATTGTACATGTTATACACGTGCTTACCTGAATATCCATGCTTCTTTCTGGTGACAATCGGTAAACTTCGGCCTAAAAACACGACCATTAATTAGCTGCCATATTTTCACAACAACACTGACCGAGTGAAATTTTTTTTTTTACGATTATACGAAATGGATGCGTACAAAATGATAAAATCGTGCACAGAAGACTTAGTTTATGATATATGCATGCATTGGTTGAAGAATTGGATTAACTTTATTTTTCAACAGTCACTCGTTTCATATGACTTTAAAGTGAAATCCTTTATAGGCAAGCTGACGGCAAACAGTTTTTACTTGCTTTCAGCCTCTTAGATATTACTGCACATTTTGTCTCTATACAATAATTTTTTAGTGGTAGATTGCTCCGGAAATACACTTGCTATGCTGTTTGTTTGATTCGAATTTCAATAACTTGGTAATTCCAACGAATTTTTATATTTCGATTATATAGTAACGATATATCCTCGGGGTTTACAGTTTCTTTTTATCGAACCAACACTTATCCATTGTATCCATATTATTTCATTTCTTTTGAAACATACTTGACAAATAATCAAGACAATACGCTATTGATATAAACATTGTAAAATGCCCGGTAATATTGTTTCATTTCGCCGTTAAATTCTAATAAATTCAAACCCAAGGTCAGTTGTAATGTAGAAAAACAGTTTTCTATACCTCTCGTTAGTAAGACTGGAGGCGTTTAACTGTATACCCCGTATGTAAAGGCTTCTGATCGTAAAAACAAATCCGTACAACAACCAAGTTGTCAGAAGATGGACTTTGGATAGGTTAAATGTCTGCTTCTATTTTGACCAATCAATTTTACAATATAATCTTATTTCATCAATTGTTTCTAAATTACTATCTATCGATTGTCTTGAACAAGCATGAACTGTTTTCCCCTGGAATTATCCAAATGACAGAAAATCAATTTATGATTTACATTTTTTTTATCCTCAACCAGGAAAACTGGTATCCACAGCATGTAAAGGGAAAGGATTTCCAGTCGAATGGACGACAGCAACTCCAGGGGTTACATACTGGTATGCGACACCAATAATTAAAAGACAATTCACGGCTGGATACAGTGTGATAGATTACTATACAACAGATGGATTGGCCATGGGTAAATAAAACTTATATATTATGTTTTGGCGCCTTTTAAAACGTTTTTATCCTGCAATCGACCTTTCTACTATATATGAATATATAGTCTCCTGGTATCCTGCTTCTACTGCGAGCGAACGGTTATGTCATATTACTGTTTACGTCACAAACTTGGGTCCTCATTGCGGTCCGTGTTGAAGTCATGTCGATTTCTTTCAAAGACAAATTCAACGATTTGAAGGAAAAAATGTAAAAAATTAATTGCAGGATAAAGACAATAACTGTTTCGTGTCTTTAAATATCAGCTGTATTTGTACTCGGCTCGAAACAGGAGTAGTATTGTACTGTCGCTCGCTGAAGCTCGCATTACACCTGATTATAAGCCTAAAAAATATAACCATGGAGTTATCTGGTTTTTTTTTTCACTTATTGTTTTGATTTCTTTATTCTTTTCCCTCTTTTTGATGTTAAAATTTCAAAAATTTCCACTAACGGTAAATGAAACTAATACGGGGTATATTGGCCATATGCATTTTCTGCGAAGAACTCCGTAGTATAAGGATGTTCGCTTCTCTTTTTTTGAATTTTTGTCAGATATTCGGAATCCTCTGATTTTATCCATGTAATGCCATTAAAAAATTCTGCTAATTACTCATATTTTCTTTTCATAATTTGACTACATATAGTTTAAAATGCAATCTTTGAAAATTTTATCAATTAATCCTTGTCATGTTTTTATACTTTTTGACAGAAAAAAAGTACCAATGTTCAATGTATGAAAAATTTAGAGAAAATCATTTCCCGCAAAATTTTCAAAGGCTTACATCTCGAAAACGAGAACTCGAACCCATCATTTTTCTTCTGTTTTTATTATTCATTTATTGATATACTATCAATTTATAACAGTCTTCTTAAAAGCTTGTTATTTGGAAACAAGAGTAGCGAACATCTTAAAATATAATGTTTGTATATTTGTTTGATTCTTTGCTTTTGCAGGTGCATCTCCTTCTTGTCTAGATGAATATTATGACTCAACAACAGGATACTATTACTATCTGATGTACTATGGCGATGAGAATGTTTACAGTTTGGAGAAGGACATTGAAATATGTCATGGCTACAAACAGTTCGACAATGTAATCAGGGAATTCTACCGTAAGATTTTTAAATTCTTGAATATAACCTTTTCAACAAAGTATTCCCTACATAAAGAAAAGGCCTCAATTTTCTCTCAAAACTAACAGTGTTGGGTTTTATGTTAACTGCCTGGTGTACTTTGGCGATGAGAAAATTTACAGTTTGGACAAGGGCCTTGATATATGTCTTGGCTTACGTCACGAATAATTCGATAATAATAGTTTTCTACAATAATATTTTTAAAATTAGATGTGTTATATTTTGTCTAACCTATTTTTAATTCCCTTTTATATTTTGTTTTAAAATTATATTGTAATTATTCTGCTCATTTTGAACGCCGTAATTGGCAAATGAAGTATTTGTCCGACTGTCTGTCTGTCTGTCTGTCTGTCTGTCTGTCTGTTCTGTCTGTCTGTCTGTCTGTCTGTCTGTCTGTCTGTCTGTCTGTCTGTCTGTCTGTCTGTCTGTCTGTCTGTCTGTCTGTCTGTCTGTCTGTCTGTTTGTTTGTTCGTTTTTTATTTTTTTTTTGTATCAAACTTTTTTCCTATACCTTTCAAATATAATACTGATAGAATAAATAATTATAATTTCCATAATAGTATGAGGGTAGGAATGCCCATTAACGTCAAACTTCAAACGTCCTTTTTTTTACCGTTAGCGTCAAATCAGCCTTAATTTGTTTTTATCTTCATTCGTCAAATCTGATTTTTAAGCTATTGTTGGGTATAATGGAGTTAAAAGTTTATTGTTAACGTTATTTTACCAATCATATAACCGTCAATCGTCATGTGGAATACCCAATTCCTGTCTTCTTGTTTGTCCCTTAAGGCCGTACTGATATCTATGAAATAAGCGTTTTGAAACTTTACAGATGGGAATTTATGTTTGACGCAAAACATTTTTAATGATATGAGGTTTGGGAATTTGTGTCAGATGTTCGGACTCCTTGCTTTTTCCCCCTATGATACAGGGTAAAATATTTTACCCAATTGCAACCATTTTTATTTTCTTATGAGACTTCAATAACTCATAAATGGTCATTTATCAAAATATAAGTAGATTCTAGATATTTTTTTCTTTTTATGATACCCAAATCATACCAAAGCCAATATAAGGTAAATTAAAGCCCGATTCAGCCTTTTCCCGACATTTAAAAAATTAAATTTCTCATAAAGGAGCTCCATAACCCATAGAATTTTAGATTTTAGATTTTTCTTAATTTCAACTACATGTATGTACATCCTTAAGGTGGTACATAATACTACAGGAAGATAACGCTGTAAAAATCAGATGAACGTTTTAATAAAGAAATAGTAAGTTTCTCATTGATCAAAACTAGTGTTTGTCAAACTGTTATTTATCATATACTTGTATAAAATATTACTAAAATTTTACAGTTCAATAACATTTAAAAATATTGAAAGGCTATGAAAGGATTACTAGGTTTATTGACCAGATTCCTAAGAATTCTCTCAGCGGGCTGATAGAGGAACCTTTATTGACTGCTTCCGGAATGTTATCACATGCCTTTCCGTTAATTTCCGTGACGTTTATCACATGCAACTCCGTGCATTTCCGGAAATGTTGTCTGTAAATTATTATCTAAAAAATCATAGAAAGACAAAATTTTAATTATTAGTTCTTGTCTGTATTTCTTTTGCTGAAGTATATGATAAAAAGATCATTACATGTCATATTTCATATCGAACCCTTTATCGACCCTCGTTCATGATATTATCCCTCGAGCCTGCGGCTCTTGGGCTGACATCATGACCTAGGGCCGATAAAGGGTCTGATATGAAAAATGCCATGTAATAATCTATACATATCCAATGAAATTTGTTCAATAAAGCATGTGGTTCAATTCTTTTGAAATTTTTATATTTTTGTCAAAGGGTCAATGTAAATATTTTTGTCCAAATTTTATGAAAATTAAACGAGCCAAATTAATTTAAGTCAATGCGTTTGGTATCACATTAATTTGATATTTTTTATAAAATTTTCAGACGAGTTTTCAATTAGCGGCACTATAACCAGTGCGCAGGATTGTGTTGGGCTATTTACTGCAGGCTCTACCAGTATAGCTCTTTCAAAATGTATGTATTTTTATCATATTTAAAAAAAAAAGTATTATACGGAGTTGACATAAGATTGACAAAATACCATAAAAAAATAATTCGTAAAAACTCTCCACATGTATGAACAGAAATGTTCTTATGTTGGTTTTTTTTCTTTGTAAGAGTTTACTTCACGACACGCCTTAACAATGAGCAAAAGAATTCACATGTAATGGACGACTATGATATGCTATTTATAGAGTGATTCTATAAATCCTTGTTTTTTTTTCATATTGTTTTTAAGGAAAAAGGATTCCAATGTCAAAAATATGAAAAGTCTAGAGAGAATTATTTCCCGCCAATTTTAAATAAAATTGAGAATGAAAATGGGGAATATGTCAAAGAGACAACAGCCCGACCAAAGAGCAGACAACAGCCGAAGGCCACCAATGGGTCTTCAATGCAGCGAGAAAATCCTGCACCCGGATGACTATATCTCGAAATCAAGCACACGAACCCTTAATTTGTTTCTGCCTTTTTAGTTCCTTTAACTATATAATATCAATATTTAACAGTCTTTTAAAACACTTGTTATTTTGAAACTGAGTAGAGAACATTCTTAAATGATTGAGATAGTTTTGTAGAGACACCTGTCTATTAATGATGGCTCTATGTTTGTCTATGTTTGTCTATGATATCTGTTGTTTATTTTTTTTTGGGGAGGGGTGCTGAAAGACCATACACGCTGTTTAATACTATACGTACTTTTAGAGAAGAACCATCTTAAACATATGGCAAAAACGTAACGGTTCTTCACTTCTTTAACACGGTAAAATAAAAACAAAATATAAAAATAATAAAAAGTTACAAACAACAATATAAATGCAATGCAATATATGTAGAGAGAGTTATTTATATAAATAAATGTAGTTGCAACAGCGTCTGTCTTGGATATTTTGATATATCAAGCCTCTTATTACAAATGAATAACAAAAAATAAAAAACCATCCATTTCTTTAATATAGATTGATAATTCAAGCGAAAATCGAAGTTATTCACCACAATCTGAAAATCAAAGGTTGATTTAACTTTCTTAGTTGCAAAACAACGGAGTATTAAAGCCGTTATGATGAAAAAAAATGCAGCTTAGTTGAAGTTTAATTTGTATTTGTTTATTTCCAATTGAAATTTTGCATTCAGTAGTAGTTTTGGAAAACGCTGCCAGGGTGATGTCAAATATATATATATATTCTCTAAAGAAACAATAGGCGGAACATAACAAAGGAACATCAAAATTGTTAAGTCAAAGAGAATCTAACAACGGCATGGGAAACAAACGAAAGTCGACTAAAAGACACATAATTAAATTTAGGAAAATCTCTTCAAATTTTGACCGGTAAAAATGTTTAAAAGATAGACAAACCCACGCGCAATAAAGCAATGGTAGACAATGTCGTATTACAGAATGCTCGCAATAACTGAAAACTAGCTCAACCTACAGATAGGTCATCGTGCTGTCATACTCTTTTATTATATGACTAAAAATTTTCTGTTTTCTTATTGGCTAAAAGCACAGGAAATCCTCATTGATAAAACGTTAGATTCACCGCGACAAAAATCCAAGAGGTTTTAGATATAAGATTTTGAACAACGTCTGTGAACCTAAAATAGATATTCAAAGGCAACGTTAATGACGTAGGTTCACGACTTCAAGTATATTCCTGTGTTTTCTTTTTCTTCTTGTATTCGGTGTATTTTTTTCTTTTCTTCTTTTTTTTTTTGTGTATTTGATTTTAGTAATATTTCAACTTATGAAGATTAGCAACTGCAAAAGCACATGATATATCAAATATAAAAACAGGCAGCAGTTTTTTTTTTAAAGTGATCAAAAGTATCTGCAACAAATACTAGAAAATTGGAGAAGATAAAAAGTAATATAGTAAAACAATTGTTAACTTTTGATTTCAGTTGATACAATGATTTATCAACGCCAGATATATGACATTCACCCTCGGCCGTTGGCCTCGGTGAATATCATATCTCTGGGGTTGATAAATCATTGTATCAACTTCATCAAAAGTCAATCAGTGGCTGTACTTCTGAGCAGATTTTATGCACCAATACAAAAATAACATTCATAATACAATTTGCATAGAATATTAATGCCTAAAATGAGAGAAATATGCATTTTTTTAAATTGTTTATTTGAATGAACAGTTTAAAACAATAACTAAAAAAATCAATATGCTATTTTCATTTTCCTTTCTAGACAACTTTCAGTATGCAAACTGCCCGTTTGATTTCACTACCTATGACTTCACCTTCAGTGATAAAGGAAATCCCGACTACTGTGCTGGTAAAACTTCTGAAGCCTATATTGAGAATGAAGTCATCGCTTTGAAGAGTTGTTATGATCCTCTGAATATAACATCAGGTAAATATTCCATCAATGTTCCCCTGTATATAACCGCAGGTTAATAATCTATCATTGTTCCCTGAATATAACCTCAGGTAAGTAATCTATCAATTTCCCCTGAAAATAACCTCTGGTAAATAATCTATCAATGTTCCCCTGAATAAAACCTCAGGTAAATAGTCTATTAATTTACCCCTTAATATTATCTTAGGTAAATAATCTATCAATGATCCCCTGAATATAACCTCACGTAAATAAACTATCAATGTTCCCCTGAATATTACCTCAGGTAAATAATCTATCAAAGATACCCTGAATATAACCTCAGGTAAATAATCTATCAATGATCCCCTGAATATAACATCAGATAAATAATCTATCAATGATACCCTGAATATAATCTCAGGTAAATAATCTATCAATGATCCTATGAATATAGCCTCAATTAAATAATCTATCAATGGTCCTTTGAATATAACCTCGGGTAAATAATCTATCAATGATCCCCTGAATATAATCTCGGGTAAATAACCTATTAATGATCCTTTGAATATAGCTTTAGGTAAATTATCTATCAATGTTATCCTGAATATATTCTCAGATAAATAATCTAGCAGGAAGACCTATTTATTCTATAATTTCATGTATTATTTAGTCAAGAGATGACTATCATGTTATTATTTATTTATTGATTATCAGTGTTCAACGCCACTTTCAGCTTTCTTGTCTAAATCACAAGAAAGCCTGAATACCAGGAGAGAATCACTGACCTGCCACCTGAAATATTGGAATCCAAATATATTAAGATCGAAGTCGAACGTGCGAGTCTGGAACTCATCGCCTCAGTGTTGACAGACTAGGGGAAACTGAAGATGAACTACTTAAACCACCTGGCCACAGAGGACCCTCTTTTATGTTATATTCACATTTAAATTGTTGTTGACCAGAGATCTACTGCTTGTACTCATGATTCTTGCGATTTGAATGATTTTTTAGTATAAATTTAAAGTGTCCAATTTTGTTTTATATATATTCAGTGTTACAGAATTAAGACCCCTTCCGTTACTTAATACTTAGTTTAATCTCATCACTTTATCGTTACCCATAACAATATATACCTTATGTTTTTCAGCTGCTCCTTATTATGGGCCATTTTCATGCCTTGGTAGTTGGCCAGCAGATAAAAAGGACACAACTTCTTTTGGTGATTTTATAGTTATCGAGATGTATGATGAGGCAAAGTGGCCATATTGTGGGGTACGACACCAACCTTTTTTTCAATTAAAGATGTATATACAATATAAGTATACATTATCAATAACGTGTACACAATTTATTGGTAAAGTCTTTGGACATCGGAAGAATTAATGCGCGACATTGTACGAAAGTGTGTTATCCTACAATTTGAATACTAACGCTTAAATGTTCATTTTATAACATTCGTTGTCTCATTTTTTTCATAGATATATGAATTGCTTGAATTGACATCAACATGAATAATAATAAACATTAAAAAAAAACTTATCATAGTATATATTTTATATTTTTTAGAGATATAAAGTTGATAAAAATGGCGTCATTACAATTTCTATTTACCTGTCAATGAGTCAAGGTGACTGGTTCCCTGTTATGTGTATTGCGTCGGTTGATAACGAGTTCATGTACGATGACGGAACCCAGAAGTTTGTGAGAATGGTGTTTACTCCTCCTTATTCATGTAAGACGATGCTTATTTTACTATATTCACATGTTTTAACAATTCTCAAAACTTTGCAATTAGATCAATTCGTTTTTCTAATGAGAGCTGATTCTGGCTCTATTTACATTTTTTAACATGATAATTACTGGGAACATTCATTTCAGAAACTTCTTTTTTTTTTTGGTGGGGGTGGGGGGGGGGGGGGGGGGGGGGGGGGGGGGGGGGGGGATTTCTGTATCGTTAATTTATCCCTTTTCCATACACTCATTGATAATATGTAGAATTAAATGAATATTTCCTTGAATACACAGAAAGAATACAGGAAAATTTTATTTTAATTACTTTTACTTAAAAGAAGACTTTTTTGTTGAATAAACTGAATGTGACTTTTTTCCTTTGTAATACTGGTTATCTAAATTAATCATTCCTGTCAAGTTTTGTCATAATCAGTTCAATAGTTTGAGAAAAATCTAGTATACTGTAAGACCACATCTATAGCGATTCCAGCAAAATTTCTTCGAAAGATCCAAACCAAGCCACATCATAATAGAATATTGTGTGGACCAATAAATGATCAAATATTTATCTCATCTGCCTACAAACAGTTGAATATGATACAAAAGATGACTTTAGGATGATAAATACCACTAATGGACCTCTTTGTCTTCCTTATAAGGTCTGTTTTGGTCCATTTACACCTCTCATTTCCTCAAAATTTCAACTTTTTAGGCCAATAAATAAACATTTTGGGGTAACTTTCACTCATTTATGATAGAAATGTTATAATAAATGAGTAATTGAAGTATACAAGCTGAATGAACTATCAATATAAAAGTTTACAGTCTCCAAGGAGGGTTCAATAAGTCATTACGTAAAATTTAAATTTACGCCGCATTCCAGACAGGGACATAAAAAGCTTCTCTTCTAGTGAATAATTTGTTGTTACTGCTTTAAAAATAATTTCATTTACTTATAACTATATATTTATTAAAGTATTTCTTTGGAAAAATTTTCTATTATAGCAGAATATAAGAAATAAGGAGAAAAAGCTCCCCAAAACACTAAGTATGGCTTGTTCTGTCAACTAATATTCATGGTAGAGTCCTATTTCAAGGACATTTTCTCAAAAATGTGTTTTGGAGACTCAATCCGCTCAGAATATTTCATTTTTTGTAATATTTTACTTGAATAGCAAGAAATTTTAAAACATGAAAGTACTCACAAGGTCAAAGGTGCATGTACAGCACCCCATATTAGGTGTAATACCACCATTGATTTTCCCGTATTAGTCTTTGTTAAATTTGCACTTTTCAAAAAATTGTGCAGAAATTATCTTTGTTTCAAATAAAGAAATACTTGGCATGAGTAAAGCTTTATCCTGTCCAGTACAATAGAAAAAAATTCACATAACATTTCATTGCATATAAGAAAATAACCATCACTGGAAGTTAACCAATCAAATTTTCCCCTTTTATTAACCTGTGTACAAGCTTTAGTAACCTCAAGTTTCCAAAATATTCTATAGAAACCCCAAATAAAAAAATAATGATGTTTTTAGATACCCAAGATATATGTTTGTGATCCAGGAATGTTTTACTGCAATGAAATGTAGGATTAATTACCTACAACTGTCAAATTCAAGGGAATATTTTTTTTCGACCTATTTTCGTATGATGCAACCGGATGTGACGTACTATGATTTGGTGGTATTACAACTTAAACTATTAAATAAAATTAAGAATGTGTGAATGTAATTATCAAAGTTTACAAGTGTATTAAATTTCTTGTAATTTTACTTTAACATTCGCAATTTTTTTTCAATTTTGAACAGCAACTATAAAGAAAACAACACAAGCTGATCCGACAATAATAACTTCAGAACCGGCAATAACAACATCCGAAATTACGACATCTACTGAACCGACAACTACCGAATCGAAAACTACTGAACCAACAACTACCGAATCGACAACTACGGAACCGACAACTATTGAACCGACAACTACCGAACCGACAACTACCGAACAGACAACTACTGAACATACAACTACTGAACCGACAACTACTGAACCAACAACTACCGAATCGACAACTACGGAACCGACAACTATTGAACCGACAACTACCGAACCGACAACTACGGAACCGACAACTACCGAACAGACAACTACTGAACATACAACTACTGAACCGACAACTACTGAACCGACAACTACCGAACAGTCAACTACTGAACCGACAACTACCGAACCGATAATTACCGTACCGACAACTACTGAACCGACAACTACAGTACCGACAACTACAACAACTGAACCGACAACTTCAACAACTCTAACAACATCTGTCACTACCGAACCGACACCTATAACTACCGAACCGACTACTACAATTATCGTGTTGACAACTACAACAACTGATCTGACAACTACAATAACTGATCCGACAACTACAACAACTGTTCCGACAACTACAACAACTGTTCCGACAACTACAACAGGTGAATCGACAACTACAACAACTGATCCGACAACTACAACTGATCCGACAACTACAACAACTGTTTCGACAATCACAACGACTGTTCTGACAACTACATCAACTGAACCGACAACTACAACAACTGTTCCAACAACTACAACAGCTGATCCGACAACTACAACAACTGTTCCGACAACTACAACGACTGTTCCGACAACTACAACAACTGATCCGACAACTACAACAACTGATCCGACAACTACAACAACTGCTCCGACAACTACAACCGCTGATCCGATAACTACAACAACAACTGAACTAAATATAGCAACGGTTGGATCAACTAATACCTCAAATAGTAAATATGTATTTTATTAGGATTTTCTTTTTTTAAAGCATAAGTTCGTGTATAGTAAAAGATATTTTGAGAAGAACACTTTTATTCACTTTTAAGGACAACATACTTGTTTTTTTTTTGTTTTTTTTTTTCATTTAACTTGAATATAGAAAATCGCCTAAAAATTGCTCAAAAGTCGGAATAAAGGGATGAACGCGAAATAAAGTATCCACGAAAATAAGTAGGTTTACAGTATGTTAATTTTGTCGTACAAAATATATAAATACGAGAAAATATGCTATAATGTTTTTACACAAAAATGAAATATGTGACTCAGTGGAATATATTTATGTTTAATTTGTTGCCAATATTTATTGTTAAACCAATAAGTACAACTTCAATTCTGTTGGACAAAATGTCAATTGTAAAATGGTCATGACGTCACAGTGACATCAAAATGGAATCAGACTATTCATCCATACACCTGTTGTTATCGTTTTCTTTTGGTCATATTGTTTGTCTTTCTTCGATGAATGATTGTTTGTGGTCTCCTTGGTATTCTACTACGGTTCTACGGACGACTAAAGTATTTATAGTCAGTTTCTTTTTCTTTTTATGGAAGACTTATTTATCTATAGTCAGTTTCTTTTTTGTTTGTTATAGCTATTCGTCTAATTTATCTATAGTCCATTTCTTTTTCTTTCTATTGTAGACATCATGACATCTAAATCATCAAAGTCTGAAATATGGAATAGCATACGTGATTTATACTGGCCATGGTGGATCCTTGTCGGGGTTTCAATTCTTCTGCTAGCTTTATTGACCTGTTGTTTAATTTATGCTGCAAAGAAACGAAAACGTGCAGTAGATGACCATGAAAAAGGAAAACCTATGAGCGACAGGAGTCAGGCAAATTTGCAACAAACTGCAAAAACCAGTGGAACCAGTTTAAATAAAGACACCACCAAAGCAACACAACGTGCAAGAAAGATTACAGTCAAACCTTTTTTTCCACCCAAAAAATGGAATAATTTTTAGATTATATGATAAACTTCTAATAACATTGAATCGATTAATTGTAAAAGTAGCTTTCTGATTTTTATACGAGTATGGTTTTTTTTTTATAATTTTGTATTTTGGCATGAGCTCAAGTGATGTTACCTTCAATTTGGTTGCATGCCAAATTCTATAAGAAAGGACCAAACTCAGCAATCGTTAAACGTAAAATTTTGGAAAAGTTCGGAGAGCCGATAAGATTGCTTCGGAAGTTGGTTGGTCTGCTTCATTTCTATGAGCACTGAAACATTATTATTTTATCATAACGTCATTATTTAAACGAAAGAAGCAATATAAGCACGAGCGCTTTAGCGCCTAAACAGTGTTCACAGTAACAGTAGAATGATTAAAGGAAACAGAGAAAATTAAGGAAAGAATAAAGGATTATTACTAGTACAGTCCGCAGATTTAAAGAGTTATGTTGTTTTTGTTTTTTCATTTTTGTTTTTTTATTGGTTGTCTATTATTGAGAATATAGCATGTGTGGTTCTTAGTTGAACTGCAACCTCACTTTTGGCTTTTCAAAATTAAACGGCAAAATTGACCGATGAAAAGTTTTGACGGCGAAGTTGTTCGTTGTAAATAAAAATTGTTTGTTGAGTTTTACTTTCATTTATAACTTCATTTTTGTAAATTCATTCATTTCTACAAATTCACTGGGGAGCAGTCCTATGTTTTTATCTGTCAGATGAAAGTGTACAGTTTTTGTACAGTTGTTGACTTGTGCCGGTGACGGTCAAGTTTTTACACTCAAACATTTTTCATGAGTATGAAATAGTAAATATAGCAAATAACTCATACATTCAATGGCTTTTTAGATATTTCTTAACGTGAAAATGTCTTGTTAAATAATAATTTAATTGCACCTGAGCAGCTTACAGTTCAGTCACTGTCAAAACATTATTTTGGCATTATACCGTCCCGTACATGTTCTAAATAATTTGATATACGAGGTGTTCCCTTGTCATTTTTGTTTTTCTTTTGTATGGGGACCTATGGTTGGACCCCCCTTTTTATATAACTTGCATGTGTTGGAACCCCCTTTTAAAATGGCTGGACCCGCGCCTGTTGTATCGTTACTTTAATTGTGATTCTGTTGTATCTTTACTCTTCCTACATGCGTCTTGTGCGAGAATATTATTGTTACCCTTTAATTTGTATCTCTGTTTGTTTGTTTTTTTGTTTGTTATTTTGTTTGTTATTTTAATATTTATTTGTTGATCTTTGTTTTGTATTTATTCTTATTGTTTACATAGGGCTTTTTGTACGAGTTTTCCTTTTTGTATTCAGTATTCATTAATTGTTAGATAGGTTTGATGTTACTATTCATTTTTGTTTTCCGAATTGATTAGAATTACGTTTTTTTATATGACACGGTTAATTCAATAAACCAAGTTATTGTTGTGATTTGATATATGATAACTTATATTCATTTAAATTGATAATACCAAGCTCCCTCTTATTTGTCACGTTTGCAAAAATCGGCCGTTATCTAATTGCGCCAAAAATAAATCCATTTGCGCCACAATTCATTTGCGTCAATGCTACTTCTGCGTCACTTCATTTCGAAAACTATAGGTTCCATTTGAGCCAAAAAACAATCATACAATTGCATCAATTCTTTCAGTCTATTTATGTTTGCTTATATATATATCTACTAAATGATTAACTTTCTTCATCCTTTATCGGACTTGGGACCAACAGTTTACCGACTGGAGGTGTTAAAGTCATTTTACTTACATGTATACAAAAAATATGCTCATATATACACAGTTAAAACCATGATATGTCTCTGTTTAACCTTAAACCAAAGGCTTGTATTTGTAACTTTAAATAGAAACATATTCCTTTCTGTTGACCTCTCTTCTACATAGTATTTGGTACTTTTATAGAGCAAAGTTTTCTTTTTCCGGTCATGCGACTTCTGCCACCTTCTGACCCGTTTTAGATATATATCGCCTTATTGTTCGCTGGCTTATTGTTCGCTTGTTTTTGTTCGCTAGCTTTAGTCTGGTTTCTGACCCAGCACTTCGGATTTTAATGTATGGCATGGCCTGATTCTTTGTAAGTGAATCTAAAAACACAAACATTGACGGATGTGAAGCATAAAATTGTTCGTTGTAATGTGTGCATGTGGAATGCTTCAGGTCCGTTATTTGTTCTTCAAGAACTTGAAGGAATTACATACCATACTGGAGGAGGAAACAACGCATTATCCTCTATGTATGTATGTTGATAACACGTAGTCAGCGAAGTCTTCTTTTACCTTTGTATCACGTGGCATATCAGGAATTATATCCTCAGCAAAGCTATCACCCACATCAGGGGCGGATCCAGCCATTTTTAAAAGTGGGGTTCCCAACCAAGGATAAAGGGGGTGGTGGGTTTCAACTATATGTCCCCATTCAAATGCATTAATCTTCAAAAAAGGGGGTTCCAACCCCCGGAACCTCCCCCCCCCCCCCCCCCCCTAGATCAGCCACTGCACATCTTCTGGTTTATAACGCTAATACGAATAGAAATGGGTCGCAGTTAATACCATCAGAAAACTAGAGAGCGGCGCAATTGATACCTTTTCAAAACTGTTAATTAATGGCGCAAATTGAATCTTCCCCAGAAATCTACCCGGAAATATATTTTTAATTATAGCGAGATGTGTAAAGGTGTTAATATCGGTGACGAGACACCTACGACATGACATCGCAGTAATTCTTAATATATATTTTGTATATTATAGCATGAGACCTAACTTAGTCGGGTACTGAGAGTTGAAATTGTTCCTTAGAAATGGACCTCAATATCATCAATTATTAATTAGAATGATTAGAATGAGTGTTGTGACATCATCCACGACTCATGCACTCAATACTGATTGTATAAAATGGATAAAACAAGACACTTAGATTCTTTTTTTTCAATTCAGTAATAAAAGTTTTTGATATTCACATTAAACATTTTGAACACTTTACTCCTAAAAACAACCGTAATAGCCCTATTTTTCGTATCAAACATAAGATAAATGAACTCGGCAAGAAATTTGAATTTGTCCCGGCTGATAAGGCTGTCAATGATTTCATTTTTGTCTGACGTAACATTTATATTGAGGTTATGCCACCACTTTACAAGCAGAACCGAATAACATGAACGTTCCAACTATGTACTGGCTTCCAAGGCTGCATAATATACCTAACAAATATACATTTAATTTGTTTTATACCTTCGTGTATTTCACATCCCATCGTTTATGGTAATATTCTATACAAAGCACAAACATGTCGTCATTCATCTCAAAAGCTAACCAAACCTTTTAAACAAATTTATTCACAAGGGATATAGTTACGATATTGGTGTCAAGGCATTAAAGATGGCATTTTTTTTAATTAATATTGTTTTACTCATAGGGTCTTTGCATCGGAAATAAACACATGAATGCTAAATCGAGTTCTTGGAATGCATGATACTAAACCCCTAACGGTTGGGAGTGTGCTTGATTTTATATGATGATGACATAATCCTTTTATCAGTTTAATTGGAGTCTGGAGCTCGCATATCAGTAACTGCTAGTCGTCCTTTGTTAATTTATATGTATGTTGTCATTTTGCTTAGTTTCTTCTGTTACCTACTCTAACATCGGACTCGGACTTCTTTTAAACTGAGTTTTACTGTGCGTATTGCTGTGTGTTTGTTTATTCCACATTGGCTGGAGGTATAGGGTGACGGTTCAGATATCACAAAACATGCCGCTTGGAGCCGTCTAAGTCAAACTTGTAGTGAGGTGAGAGTTTGAGATGAAGAACAGCGATAAAAGCGCTGTGCTTGTGCTTTTTGTGTTTTTGCTATGAATATTGTAATTGTGTGGCCTCTGGGTGCTGGATTTTCTCGCTGCATTAATGACCCATTGGTGGCTTTGGGCTGTTTTCTGCTCTTTGGTCAGGTTGTTGTCTCTTTGACACATTCCTCGTGTCGTTTCTCTATTCTATTTTAAACCATACATATACCAGGTTTGTTTCTCTAGTATGAGATGTGTATTCTTAAATTTTTCGGCCATTTATTTTTTTTTCTTAATTTTTATAGTCGGTATTTTCTATTTCTTTTTTTCTAACTTCCCATTATTCTCTATTCCTTACTTTTTGTCCCTTATTCTTCACATTTTGCCCCTTATTCTATATTCTGCAAACTCCTTCTAGACCCAATAAGATAATTTGTATCTAGCAGGTGACGTTTTTCGGGTCAAAGAGGGACAATTCGAATAGTTAAAGATGTGAGTCTTCCGTTACAACAACGTTATAGGACAAGAGGGTCTAGATGGGGTCCTTATTTCTTTATTCTATAATATCTAAGACCATTTTTTCTGTATTCTTGATTTATTCTTCCCATTATTTTCTATTTTGTAAACCCCGTCTAGACCCGCTGACATACACGTACGTTCATAAAAGTTTCGTGTCGCTTTAAAATAACTCTATTATATTTCATGTTTTTGATCCCTATTTTGTTTTTGACGTATGTGTTGCTATCATTTTGGTCTGTTCATAAAACTTATGAGCTACAAATTTACAAACAAAATGTAGCCTGTACCAATTGGAAACCATATCATTTCCGAAATGGGCTAATTTTAATCGTTTTGCCACATGCATGCACCACCTTAATTTTCTGTTAAGATATGCATCTGACTAGTTCAAACCGTGTACCTTTTATATTGAATAGCATTATTTTTGTTGACTATGGTGGACAATGTTTTTTCTAAAGAAAATACCTTACAGTTGCATAAAAACAGACAATCTGGCTACAATCCTGAAAAATATCAAAGTTTTGAATCTGTCAACATGGTTAAAACGAAAAGCGGATAAAAAAGGACAAAGTTTATCTAAATTTCCATAACCAAAATCGTTTTTTTTTTTTTTTAATTTTTGATAATCTATTGGTAGATTTGAATTTAGGCCTCCGTTGCGCTAATTCTTTTTTGCGTCCGAAGCGCATTTTTTTATTTACTTTATCAGAATTTAGAACTCGAAAAAAAAAATAAAAGTTGCTTGGGGGAATAAAAATTTGTGATGAAGGACGAAATTGAGAATGGCTGTTATCAATCAAGTCAGTACCAAAGCCCTGACTCCTAAGCTGATGATACCACAGGAGTGGACCAGTAATTATTCACGGTGTGTCACCAAAACGAACATTCAAAATATTTCTTCTTTAATTTCCATCATATAAACTGTCTCATTAGTGTATACACCACATATTCTTTTATTCAGATTTCATTGCGCATGAGACACTTATTTCTAGACATCTTTCCTCCGGAACGCTTGAGACATGAAGCGCTTTGAGCCAATAGATACACGATTGTTTCTAGTATTCAACTTCCTATTTTGTAAACCTGCATGTACATTTGTCAGTTAATTAAAAGTATTTAAAAGATAGATTTTTTAAATGGTTTCCCTATAAAACATAACAAAATTCAATAACACGAAATAAGGGGAAGATAAAGTACTCTAGACTAGTTGACCAACTATTTATTAGTTACATCGTATCAACGACTATATAAAAATAAGATGTGGTACGAACGCCAATGAGACAACTCTCCACCAGAGACCAAATAACGCAAGCAACTTAAGGTCACCACAAGGCATTTAACAATTAGCAAAACCATACGGCATAGCAAGCTATTAAAGGCCCCGAATTGACAAAATTTAAGCAAGAAAACAAGAAAACAAACGGCTGATTTATGTGCAAAACAATAAACGAAAAACAAATGTTATATACAGCACAAAGGTTTGAATCTCAGGCTACTGACATGGGATAGGCGCATACCGAATGAGTCGAGGTAAAATGTTAGCGCCCCTCTAACCTCGGAAAGCTGTGTCCATGAAGAGAAGTTGTTTCATATTCATTTATCTTGCAAGCCACACATCCTGTTGATATACCTTTACTGTAAGTTTATCTTATTAAAAACAAAATCAAAAATTGTATTTATTTTTTATATTATTATTACATTTTCCTTATATATCACCGCATATATACTAATTAAGGATATGAAATACTAATAGTTCACTAATGCCATTTTAACTAATAAATGATTTTCAGCGCGGCAATGTGGCCTGGCTTGCGCCTTTTTGGGCATTTGAAAAATTTATTTTACCTTTTGCATGGTTATAAGTATAATTTTGAGAGACCAAAGCAAAATATTGTAAAAACAAAGATATAAATAAAAGTAAAATAAATGGAAAAATAAATTGATGAATAATAATTGCAGGATTAAATAATGAAAAAATAAAAGTGAATATAACTTAAATAAAAAAAAATAAATAATGAAAAATTTTATGAAGAACAAAAAATATAATTAGGTGCCACCAAAAGCCGGAACAGGGAAAAGGGCCAAACAAACAACAAAGAGCGGCAGCAACGTTGTCATA